GGCAATATGCTGACTCTCTGTAAACCGCTTAGAGAGGCCTGAAAGGCCTATGAAGCGGTATATAAGTCTACTGCTATTGCTGCTATTGCTATAAAGGTGACAATCAACACCTTGAATTGCACCCGGAAGCAAATCAGCCGCCAATGCAGCTCCTGCAGGAGAGATGATACATGCATAAAAACCATGGGGGACGCTGCATTTTGCACCAACTGGAGCTTCTAGATGCTCTTCAAGGGCACCCCATGCAGAGTATGTTGCAATGGTATTTCGCCCATAGATGTCCAAATTCAATTATTCTAATTATTTTTGCAGATATCAATGTATGTGGATTAAAGCCACATGTTTGCGAACACAGATGCATGAACACTCATGGAAGCAACAAATGCCATTGTTTAAATAGGTACATGCTCATGCCAGATGGCACCTGTTCCAGTAAATGTCAATATTAACTTGAGATTTGGGGGTTAAATCTATGTTGTAGATATTATATGGAAATTATTGTGATGGCAATGTTGGTGATGTTACAAGTTATTTAATTTGCACCTTTAGGAGGCAAACCATGGACTTATTTCTTTAGTTCTGCTCATTTTCCACTGCATATAGAAAAACCATGCTATGCTAAATCAGTCATTTTAGCTGTCTTCAAAGCATTTCCTGTCAGCTTGAGAGAAGGAAAAAACAAATATGTGGTTTTGAACATATTTTTAAATATTTGATCTTGCCATTTTTTTCCACTTTACATTTGTACTGTACCTTTATAGTAGAATCGAGAAAAATTAGGAAGGCATAAAACACAAAGTTTGAACCAATTGCTGGCTTTCAGTAAATGTTGAAAATGAAATGTAAGCCAGGGAAATGCTCACTAAATTATTTGTGATACCAACAAGTTTTTATTAGTAATTTTTCTTTTACTTTTCTTAATTGTTTTTTTCTCATGGATCTAAAAGAAACATGAAACAAAACGCTGCAGGATGAAATGTCAGGTGGGCTTTCAAAGGCATGCAGGGAAAAAAGTTTACTGAGAGATGTGTTGCCAGGGCAACCAGGGAATATTATGATTCCTAATTCTATCTAAAAACATATTGAGTGGCTGCAGTGTAAAAAAATGGAAATTGTACATACCTATTATGTTTAGTCCTCGCGCTTACGAATGACAGCCGGCAACAGCCAAGCCCTGTGGGTCGGTGGTGGTGGAACCGAGACATCTCAGCTGTAGACTCGGTTCACTTCATATTAAATTATTTACATCAACATATCTAATTCAGAGTTAAACTTGAGAAATCATAAAAGCAGCAATTATGTAGATCAATAAATTCAGCGTGGCAAATAAAGGGATGACTAAAAATAGCTTTCAAACACAACAGAAAAATCTAATAAAATAGCAGTAGTAATAACACTTAGATTTATATACTGCTTCACAGTGCTTTACAGCCCTCTCTAAGCAGTTTACAGAGTCAGCATATTGCCCCCTACAATCTGGGTCCTCATTTTACCAAACTCGGAATGATGGAAGGCTGAATCCACCTTCAGCTGGTCAGGATCAAACTCCTGACAGTAAGCAGCCAACCTGCAAAACTGCATTCTAACCACCGCACCACCATGCCATCAAAGTGGTATTCATGTGACACTACAAAAACAAATCAAAACCAATCTACAGCAGTTTTCTAGATGGAGTGCTTTGTGCATCTGCTAGCAGGACCAAAAAATCCTTCTATCTTACTTGCCTAACTTCATGTATAACAGCTGGAAAGAGCATTCAGTGTAAGATTCAGATAATGTGCTTCTGGTACATATCAGGTAAAGTGGTTCAGGTACATAACAATCCATGTAGGATTAATAGTTCACCACCACCATTTTGTATCATGCCTAGAGCCTCCTAGCTATCTAAAAATTAAAAATACATTTATTTTGAAGCCTTTATCAGTTTGAGCTAACTTTAACAAAAGAGTCAAAATAGCAATTAAAAGATGCAAAGATGCTGATTTGGGCATCCCAATGTCTTTTTATGAAACAGACTTTAAAACACTTCTTTTAGTAAGCATAATTTTCTAAAGTAGGTGTTTCTAGTTAGGTAAGTGTTGACAAATAATATTTTCTAAAAGATTCCAGAACATGCACCATGGTGAATTGCCAATATGGTTGTGAAGAAGTGAAAGATTATGTGCGATGCTTGTGTCCGTCAAGAGGACTTCAGTTAGCACCAAATGAAAAAACCTGCATAGGTATGTTAGTTGTTTTAATGTTCTTGATATTATTACTCCAAACATTTCTCAAAATCTGGTATGTGTTTCATATAAACATGGAAGAAATAGCAATTTTTAATTCTAGAATAAATATTAACCCTAGTGTGCACATCCCAAATATATGTCAGCATACTGCATGCTCTTAGTTGGTGAGATGCAGGCAGTATTATGCTGAGTTGCACAATATTATCTAAAGAGCTTGGATAGAGACAATGTTTGGGGTAAAACTACAATATGCTTTACTTGAATATGTGGACTACTAGCCAAAAGTTGCAAAATAACAATACTGTCCTTACTATCAGCCGAAAATGTTGCATGTGACATGAATGAAGTTAAAGCTGTAACTTCTCTATCTTATTAAAAAAAACTTTACGTGAAAACTCTGATTAACCAAAGCTACAATGTGCAGCAGAGATAAATATCCAAGGGCCCAGGTGGCCTTCATGTTCATGGCATATTGAAGATTGCAACTTGAAATGTAGGAAAAATGGAAAAGCACATGAACAAAATCAAGAAAGAAACATAGGCATGATTGGTACCTGTGAAACTAAAAGAAGGGAAAGAAGATAATAGAATTGATTCACATGTCATGATCTTAATTTGAAGAAAGAGAAGTGGAGGTGTAGATTTAATTATGAACAAAAGCATTACAATATATTTAAAGGAAAAAATAAAATATATTAAAAGAATAATATGTTGAAGAGAACATGCATATATAAAAAGCAGTTCTGTGGTTGGTAATAGTGTATCTGTCAAGTTCTGAGCATGCTCATTAAAGTTGTGTTAAGGCGGGAGATAGTCAACAGCTGATTGGCTTACCATCTGACAGCGCCGAGTATAAAAAGGGAGCTGTCAGATGAGAAGGCGCTGTTCCTGTCTCAAGCCAGTTCCGATTGTTAGCTTGTTACATTATAGGGAATAAACTTGTGGTGACCAGATTTTCAGATTGGTAAAGAGGGACACCTTTGACCGGGCCGGGGGGGCTTGATTAAAAATTTTATGCGGAACAACAAAAATTTTCATACAAAGCAAAAATAGTATTGTAATGTTTTTTTTATTTCAACATAACTACAATTTACAAATATAAATTGTAACTGTTGCCAAACATCAAAATTTT